TGTACTGCTGCTGGTATGGGTGTGTATGGGTGTGTGTGTGTATGTCGTCCGTTCTTGCAAACTGTGTTGTTAAATTATGTGTGTGTTATGTGCGTGTGTGTGTGTGTGTGAACAGTGGGACCGCTGCGTGGCAGATTGCTGTTGCGATTGTGGGCGGCGTTGTGCTGATTGCTGCTGTTGTGCTTGCGGTGATTGGGCGGCGGCGGCGCGGGGTGTCGCCCCCAGCGGCGCACAAGGCAGCCAAGGAGCGACAGACGGTGGCGTTCACGAACCCGGCATACGACACGCCAGGCGACATCACGGCGTGGGGCGCTGACGACACTGGCGAGTACCAGGACTTTGATGCTGTGCAGGGCGATGGCAACGACCTGTACGATGAGCCCGCACTGGCGCATGGCAAGGGCCGCGTTGTGCACAACCCGCTGTACGACGGCGTTGATGAGGATGCGGCGATGCTTGGCATGTACGCAGACGCAAGTGTGCTGCGGTCCAGCGGCGGCGGCGGCGGCGATGAGGATGACGCTGGCGAGACATACATGGCCATTGGCGAAGAGGGTGCTGTGCTGTTTGGTGACGAGGAGGAGGGTGTGGACGAGGCAGACTATGCCGACTTGGAGGAGATAGGGTACCTTGACGTTGGGCCCGAGGCTGAGGGTGATGGCGCCGGTGGTGATGATGCTGACGTGGAGGCGATGTACGAGGATATGGCAGACACGTCTGATGAGGAGCACGGGTTTGGGTCGGACTATGACGAGGTGGACGGAGCCCAGGCTGCCGCAGAGGATTCCGATGAGTGATGCGGCGATGCAGTGATGCGGGGATTTGAGCACGCGTGTTGTGTTTGTGATTTGTTTATTTTGTCGTTTACTTGCCGTTGTGTTTTGTGTTCGTTGATTTGCTGCTGCCTCTCCGTTTGCCCAGGCCTTCTTGGCCCGCCATTTGTATGCTCTTTTCTTTTTCGGTTGTGTTATCCTGCTGCACCGTCACTGCACCGGGACACCTGGTTTTTCTCCTCCTATGTGCTGGGGCTCTCTTCTGTTGAGCGGTGTTTCATGTACTTTCTTTTCTTGCCCTGTTTTTTTTTTTTTTTTTTTTCACGTTTCGGCTGCCGCGCTTACGCACGTGCTTATGTGCTCTCTGTTTTGTGCTCACAAGCTGTGGGGGTGCGTTGGCTTCGTTTGATCGGACAGGTTTGTTGCCATGCTGGGGCATTCACCTGCCATGAGCTTTGTCGTGGCTCGTGCTGTTCCTGGTGCGCGCTTTCTTCAGTCGCCGACACATACAGATCTTTGTTTTCGATGCACATGATGAACGCATCGTTGCGTGTGTCTGTGTGTGTATGTGCAAGCGTGTGTGTGAGAGAGAGAGAGAGAGAGTGTGTGTGTGTGTGTGTGTGTGTGAAGAGTGAGGGAGAGACTTCCACAGGCAGGGACGCGAAAGCAGCGCCACGCGATTACGGCTGTGAGCGGTGACAGCTGAACATCCCCCCCCCCCCTTGGTGATTGCACTGCTTCCGTGGAAGAATTGACACGAAGGGCGAATCAAACGCACAGGTGCGAAACAGTTGAGCTTGCAGTTGAAGAGAACACAGGTGGTTTGGGTCGATTGACGCCTGGCGCACGTGGCACGTAACATCAGGACCGAGTTTGCACTCGGGGAGTTGCTTGCAGGCAGGTGTGCGAGGTAAGAGCAATTTTGAAATTGCGCGGGGGGAGTGCTGGTGTTGCGACAGCATTTAGTGTGGGCGGTGGGTGGGTGACGAATATTGGTTTTACATTCGTGGCGTCGTATGTGCGAAAGCAACATTGCTGCAACATTCGGGGTGTCGTTTGGATGTGGCTTGTTTTGCTTGCAGGCAAGATGAAAGATAATTGACCACAGGCTCTTGTGCGTAGCTTACACTTGGTGGATACAACTCGTCGGCGATGTCGTGAGTTGACCTGTTGCTTGTCACGCTTTGTCCCACAAACACGGGTTCCTCTTGTTTGTGTGGGAAAGTGCTCGTGCCGTTGGCAAAAATGACAGGGTGATGACATGATTTGACACTGCAGATGTTCTTTGTGTAAAGGTTGTTGTGGCTGCACCTTCGGCGATATCGCCTCGCTTCTCTCGCTTGTTGCTCCTTTGTCTCAGCGCTTCCCACGGCTTCCAAGACGTTCCCTTGTGGTGTTTTGCGTCGTTCGCAAGCCAGCTTAGCAAAGGTGGGAGTTTGACCGACTGTGACCAATCCACAAACCACAACAAACCACAACAAACCACAGCAAACCACCACCCAAGCCACCTTACGTTCTCTCACTTTCTTCTTCCTGTCGAAGAACACACAACACCCTAACACCCACCACCACCAACCAACAAGAACCTTCATCAAGCCAAGACAGCAACCCCTCCAAACTCGCCAGGCAAGAGCATCTCAACCGCAGCAACAACAGCATCTCGCGCAATGATGGTTGTTGTGGTTGCAGTGTTTGTGGCTGCCGCTTGTTGTTGTTGTTGTTTTCCCCCCTCTGCCACAGCGGCAGACGTTCCTGTCGACACAACA